CTGGGTAGCATATCCCAACACAAGAAGGTCAGTTACTGGTTATGTGATAAAGTTTGGAAGTTCCTTGGTGTCTTGGAAATAAATAAAAAAATAACTAACTGTGTCAAGAAGCTCAGCTGAAGCTGAGTACAGAAGCATGGTTGCTGCAATTGCTGAGATCATATGGCTACTTGGTTTGTTTAAAGAGTTAGGTGTGAAGATTACACAACCAGTGACAATCCTTAGTGATAGTAAGTTTGCTATTCAGATTGCAGCAAATCCCATACTACATGAACGGACAAAACATATAGAAATCAATTGTCATTTCATTAGAGACAAGATCAAAGAAGGGGTAGTTCAAGCAGTACATGTGAACACAAAGGAGCAGCAGGCTGATTTGCTAACCAAAGGCTTAGGAACTGCTCAACATGTGCATCTACTTGACAAGCTTGGAGTGCTTAACATTCTACACCCTCCAGCTTGAGGGGGCATATTGTAATATAGAATAGTACATGTATTAATTAGTCACGTGTCTTTTCTATTAGATGACAGCTGTTAGTGAGCTGTCCAATAGATAGTTGCTTAATTTAAAGTTAGTTGCATAGCTTAGGTGTATAAATGTACCGACTATTATCTTCAATAAGATAGTGATTCATTTCTTCTTCACCCGACTCTCTCTCTCTCTCTCTCAATTTCTGCCATTGTTACACCTCCAAATCTCTTGCATTTTAGCAATTCTCCTCAAGAAGAAGCTAATCCTCATTATCAGTATAACGCAACAGAAAGCGAGCTTACAAAAAGGTTTTTCTTAAGAGGCAGGAGAGGGGAGGTGAATAAGATCAATCCTTCAATAAAAATAGAGATACTCGATTCTTGAAATCCAAAGTAAACAAAATGAATCAAAAAATATAAGATTATAAAAACCTATACTATTAATTAATAACGATACCCGTTTCTTCAAAGTCCTCAAGAAGAAACTAATCCTCATCATCAGTATAACGCATCACAAAGCGAGCTTACAAAAAGGGTTTTCTTAAGAGGCGGGAGGGGGGAGGAGAGGGGGTTGAATAAGATCAATCCTTCAAATAAAAATAGAGATACTCGATTCTTGAAATCCAAAATAAAAAAAATAAAGCAGAAAAGATAAGATTACAATAACCTATACTATTAATTAATAAAGATACTCTATTCTTCAATGTCCTCAAGAAGAAGCTAATCCTCATCATCAGTATAATGCATTAGAAATCGAGCTTACAAAAAGGTTTTTATTAATAGGCAGGAGGAGGGGGGTAAATAAGATCAATCCTTCAAATAAAAATAGAGATACTCGATTCTTGAAATCCAAAATAAACAAAATGAATCAGAAAAGATAAGGTTACAAAAAATTTATACTATTAATTAATAAAGATACTCGATTCTTCAAAGTCCTCAAGAAGAAGAAGAAGTTAATCCTCATTATCAGTATAACGCATCAGAAAGCGAGCTTACAAAAAGGTTTTTCTTAAGTGGTGGGGGGAGGGGGAGCGGGCGAATAAGATTAGTCCTTCAAATAAAAATAGAGATACTCGATTCTTGAAATCCAAAATAAACAAAATGAATCAGAAAAGATAAGATTACAAAAATCTATACTATTAATTAATAAAGATATTCGATTCTTCAAAGACCTCAAGAAGAAGCTAATTCTCATCATCAGTATAACAACAACTATGTTATCCTGAAACAAAAGTCATCCATTTCTTGATCACAGCTGGGGGTGTACAAAAAAAATTTGATAAATCGCATCAAATCGATAATTCGAGTCAAACCGGAAAGAAAAAACCTGATGTGGTTTGGTTTGGTATTGAAAAAAAATCCGACCATAATTAGTTTTGCTTGATTTTAACTAAAAAAAGTCAAACCAAAACCAAATCAACCCGATAGTACATTTATATAATTTTTAAAAATATTTTTTACATATAAATATTTATTATAATGTAATTTATAAATATTTCTTAAACTTTTTTCAGATTCTATTTCAAGTTTGAACCTAACATTCTTGAATGTTAAATAAATTTTATAGCCCATAAATGTAGTAACTCAAACAAAGTTCAAATCAATACTAATGCTAACAAAAGAAATTCAATTCAGCATAATGACGATAGTGTTGGTCATCTATTTTTAGTTACATTGGTTTATAATGAAAATGCTTATCTTAGTTTATTTTTTTCTTTAGTGCTTAGTTATGTAATTAATAGTACTTATTAACTATATTTATTTTAGCATGACCTATATAATATTTTTAGATTATGTTAATTTTTATTATGGCTTATTAATTAGCACTATTTGTTTTATGTAATTTTATTATCTTTGTTATTAAATATTTTAATATTATGCTATGACTTATCTTATAGTATTTTTATTTTCTTGAAAAATACATTATATAGTTGTATCTTACTAGGATTTAAGAAATATTTGGAGCACAAGTTACATATTTTGTGCTATGAAGACTTTACCGAAAAAAATCCAAAAAAAAAAAATCGAAAAATCTGAGAAAAATCGAGATTGAAAAATTCGACTTTGTTGGTTTGGTTTGGTTTATAGATTTAAAAACCCAACACCATTGGTTTGGTTTGGTAATTGAAAAATTCGAACAAACCCGATCCATGTACACCCCTAATTACATTTTAGTCAATAACATTATTAATTTAATGATAATTTCATGAGTTGCAAGATAAGCTAAATAATTTACATTAGGAACAAGAGAAGAATAAAGAGAATTTTAAAACCGTGATGTTAGCTCGCGAAGCACGATCTGTAACCTTCCAAAATACAATTGCATATTATCTTCTTGCTCAACTAATACGCTGAAACTGTATAGTTTTACTCTAAGCTAAGTATCGTGTTATAACTGTGTACGGTCAAAACCGATTCTCAGTCATAAAGACCGGTCGAGACAATGACGTTTCAATCGAAGGGTATCCACATGGCAAGCTCGGACGAATTCCGAAGTAGAGACGTCGAGTTTCGAGCTATAAGACCAATCAACGGCAATTCGAGCTATAAGACCAATCAACGGCAAAACTCGATATCATTATCGAGCCCGTGTCCGAATCGGACTACGGGGCAACGCCGATTGATACAGGCCCCGAATATCGATGCTCCAAGGCAGAACCGAACTAGAACTAAGACTGGGGATTCGATCTAGCACCGAGCTCGAGTCATTGCCAAGCTCGCAGACAAGAGCCGTTACAACCGCACCAAGGGAGAGAATCTTGGCGAGAATCAAGGGAGAGACAAACCATCATGGGTTCTCCACTATATGTATTATTTTATTATGTTGTTATAGATAAAGTAGTGACCCTCTACTATAAAAAGGGAGAAAGACTGTAATAGACACAGGTCCTCCAAGATACATTAACATTTCATTGTGCTTGTTCTTCTAATATTTTTCAGTCTTCCCGTCCATCATTCTCATTTCATAGCAAAAAATACATGTATTGTCATTTTGTATCAAAGAAATTTGCATACCCTTAGAACCATATCTAAATTTAACGTTATCCGATTTTTCGGGTAAACAATAACCAAAATAATTTTCTTAGGAAAAAAAAAAACGAGGTTGTCTACATTACTGTGAGATTTACTAATTTAAAATAGTTATCCATCCCCAAAAATTGTGCCAAATTAAATAAGTAGTAACTTTTTTCATCGCTTCACAAAGAACTAGAAGCTCATTTCAGAACCAAGCTAGCACCTATTTAAAGTGTGGCTAAGTGCTACAATAGGATACATAAATGCTAATATTTGTGAAAGTATACAAATAAATATTTAAAACAAATTTAGAACTTGTTTTTTACTAAAAGAGTAGAAATGAAAACGGCTCCTTCAAAATATCGTAATGTCAGCTAAGAATTTCTCTTTTGAAAAAGAAAAACAAAATTGCTCAAATGAAGAATGAATGAAGCAAATCATGTCCGCAGACCACTAATGTCACCTGCTACTTCAAGCTGAGTCTTTTTTTTTCTTCGATTTTTTTTTTTTAAATCCCAGAAAAATTCGCAGCCGTTACAGTCTGCAAGTCACACAGGGGTTTATATACCGCACTAGGCAAACCCTGTGCAACAGGCTTAGACCCAGAAGACATTGAGTTTGGATCGATCCCAGGTCATCATTATGAACCAAATGGGCCGTCCGGAAGGACTTTTTCTTCGATTGATAACCAAGAAATTTGTGGTTTTCAGTTTAGAAACTCAATGCTTAATAGACGCTACGCCTCTGCCCTTTGAACCGGTGATACATGCCTACTGCCTACTACACATCCAGCGTCGTACCATCTTTTACAGTGAAGCACAGCCCTCAGGCTACGTCAAGCTTATAGCATGTTTGGCCAAAATTCTTTTTGGCCAAATTATTATTTTTTTTTTTCAAAGTTAAAGTTTAGTCAAGATTTTAGAAAGAAAAAAATATTTTTGAATAGAAACGGAGTAATATTTGAAAAGCAAAGAAAAATAACTTCTTCCCCAAAATACTTTTTGAAAAAAATATAATTAAAAGTACTTTTTAAAAGTTTGTCAAACATTAATTTCTACTCAAAAGTATTTTTCAAAATGAATTAACCAAACACGAATTGCTTCTCACCAAAAATACTTCTTTAAAAAATATTTTTGAGAAAAAACTTATTTTTAAAATTTGGCCAAACGGACTATTAATTTCTTCCCATCATTTTACCATCCCTTGTCATATCACACCGAGAAAGAAAGAAATAAACATCTATCAATGCATGAAAATTACAAGATGAATTTGACGTTGGTATTAACAAATAGAAAAAGGGGCAGAATAAGGCAAATCATACGTTTATGATGATTTTCTTTTTTAAGCAATATTTAAGGAAGATGAATTAACTACTACAACTACAAAAAGCCCTAAGAACACACGAGAATTTTGTATCAGACAACCAAGGTACTCATTGATAAATTATAAAGAAATTAAACTATGACGATCAATAAGAAAAGTAAGAAGATAAGCATGTAAGAGAGAAATCAGCATGAAAAAGAAAAGAAACTACCATATTGAATCTGTAAGGAGGAAAGGCCCATTACATATAATGCTCAAACAAGGATAAATCCGGAAATAAATGGTAGGAATAACAGATATTCTGCTTGCAAAACCGAATCTATCCAGCTAGTGGAAACCATGAGCAGATTTGACTTCACCAGAACAAACTAACACATCTAACACAGCTAAACCTTCAGTACATGTTGGAAAATCAAATCCCTATCGAATTTGATTTTTCTAGAAGAGAAAAGGAAGAACAAGTATAAACATGGCATCTCAAGCTTCATTCTTCAGAATTCGCTCCACATATGCCTGTCAAGAAAATAATAAGTGGAAGTTAACATGTAATCAACATCTTAAAAATGAAGGATGAACAAGCCTTATAAAATGTCTAATGACACCAGAACCTCAGACATGCAATCAAAATTCAATTCAGAGTTCAATGCCATGTACAACTTCAGTACTGTCTATGCTCCACCCCCACCCCACTCCCCCGGGGTTGAGCTAAAGCAAGGAACAGATAAAAACATACACATCCCACGGGTAAGATAAATGTTCATAAGTGCACACAATAACATACTATCATATTTTAGAAAAACAATGTTTTAAGTCCAAAGCAAGATAAAGAATCCAGTAGAGTCGATAAGAAGGCAACTCACCTGTACAAGTTTGGTAATTTTAGCTTTTGAATAGGACAGATATTGCTCTATTTTCTCTTGTGTCTTAGGGACATGTTCTCCTTGAGTTGTACTAGTCACCTTATCAACCACCTTCTTAACAACTGTTTTGTGAACTTCCCTGCTCATCTTACCTTCTTTCCAAGTGGGCTTGAGGATCTCCTTAACAAACTCTATTAGAGCATTTTTGAATAAACGCATCGCTTTTTCATCTTTGTTACCACTTCCCTCCTCAACCTTCCCATGCATATTCATATCTCCTGGATGATCATTTTCTTGCCCATCCTTGGACTCCTCGGGAGCTAATTTATCTTTTCCATTGACTTCAACTAATTTATTCTCCTGCTGCTTGACTTCATCTATTTGATCGTTATTTCCAGGTTCAGGATCAATGGTAGATGATTGATTCATTTGCTCCACCGGAACCTTATTACTCTCTCTATCCAAATAAGACGAGTTGTCCGGGGGCATCTTAAAATTGTCTACGCCATCTGCAGGATGGTAGTTATTTGGACCCCGCATCTCCGGATTGGTCTGACCATATATAGCATTAACAAGTGAAGAAATCGGATGAGAAGCTAGCATTCCTGAAGGATCAGAGGGATTTAAGACTCTTTGCAGTTGGGCTTCTCGCAGTTCTTCCTCAAATTTCTTTATCATAGACGTTGGAGAGGATTTCATTTGGTGCACTTGCTCACCAGTAACAGTACAGGAAATATTTTGAGGGACTTTGAATTCCAGCATCTCGGGTGTGCCGGGTGCTTCTCTCTTATTGTGTCCAGTTGATGGGATAGGTAAGAACACATTCGGTTCTTGGTGTGTTCCATTCAGAGCTGCAGAATGTTCAGAGCTCATACCAATACCTGTACCACTGAAGCTCTGTCCAGGCAAATGAACTTGATGAAGACCGTCTCTAGCATGCATAAATTCATTTAGCGCATTAGAGCCAAGTGTTCTGGCAATGCTATCTTCTGTCAGCCCCTGTGGCTGAATATAAGAACTAGCAGATCCATAAGGCTGATTGTCCGTGGCAGAAAGAATGATGCCTGAAGCTTCTGGATTTGAATTATGTCCAAGGACATGTGCCGAAGTTCTCTCCATATTTTGATCAGAAGCTTGAGAAGTGAGATGAATAGCTTGAGCATTTGTAAGCTTTTGCATAACTGAAGATTCTGAAATGTTCAAATCATTAAGATTACCAGCATTCCCTCCGTGAGGAGAAACACCTCTCTCTCGGTCAGAATTCATATAATGTGGTTCTGTGCTTCCCCAGGCTCTGCTCTCATTTTCAAAACTATGGTCCAATCTTTCATTGGTCCTATCTGTAAGAACTGTGACAGCAGTATCTTTTCTTACTACACTTTCATCCCACCCACTAGACTTTACATGGTCCGAGGGCCTTCCTTCATCCCACCCACTAGCCTTTACAAGGTCCGAGGGCCTTCCTTCATCATCCCACTTTGGACCCTTCAACCAGTTATTTTTGTCATCAAGTCTGTGGCCACCAATGTCATCCGAGGGCCTAATTTCATGATTTCTTGATGTGGCATCGTGAGAGAATTTGCAGTTATCCTTATAGCACTTTCCTGCTGCAAAGTACTTGCAAAGTGATTTTCCACTTCTGCTTGCTTGATTGTCCTGACCATGATCAAAGGATGCACTCCGAGTACCTTTGTCATAGCTATCACCTGAGGCACCATCATGAGAAAATCTGCATGATGCACCCCAGCGACAGTTGCCTTTCACAAAATCCCTGCAAATAATTGTACCTCTATTCCAGTTTCTGTGCATCTCATCCTCCAGATGATGCATGTCAGGAAGCCTATCCCTTGATTGGTACCCAGGACCTTCACTATCAGCATACCTTGAGACATGTCCACGCTCTGGACGACTACCCAATCTTTCAGCCAAGTTGCCCTCTGAATGACCTCCGTCCCTATGATTGATAGCATCTGGATGAAAGAACCTGCAGTCACTGCCTCTCCTACAATTCCCCGCTGTAAAATTTCTGCATACCTGGGATGACATACGAGGGCCGCTCCTTCTATCACCTGATGCATATGGATCACGTTTAGAATTATGGAGAGGACTACGACTCCTATTCTGAACTCTCATACTACCCCTGTCCCTGTCCCTGTCCCTGCTCTTGCTCCTGCTTCTACTCCTGGTCCAACCCCTAAACCTATCCCTTCCCCTGCTGCGACTCCTGCTCCTACCTTCTCCCCTTGCCCGGCTCCGGCTCCTGCTCCTGCTCCTGCTCCTGCTCCTGCTCCTGCTCCGGCTCCGGGATCTTCCAGGGTATCTATAAAATGAAAAACCACAACATATCAGTAGAAATAATATCAACAATATCTGCTAGGCGAACTTCCCCTTCCCCTTTCCCCATGCCCAACGGAAGGATCAGGCAAAAACGAGAGAGAACACCAAAAGAATGATGGAAAGTCAAATAAACTCGTGAAAACTTTGGAGGCAAGTAACACTGAAATATGAGAGAACCCAAAGCAGTGGCTTCCCANTCCAAAGCAGTGGCTTCCCACCAGCCAGAAGTTCTTTCATTGTACATTGCAATACATGAAATGCATCACAAACTCAAACCTAAAGAATTATCTTACTTGAAAGCTAATAGGTTTTACAGTTACGTGGTCGATTATCTTTTGATAATCATGAGTATGATGGATCATTAAATCAAATACTGTAAACAGACCTGCGAGACTGGGTCCGACCATTATTTGGAGAGTGACTATTGCTTCGCCTTCCCCACCTATCAAAAGCTGGAGACATGCTTTTATAATGGTAGTTTTCCTTCC